ACTGCTTTGTAGGCTTTAAGGGGGTGTGTTCTCTGTTCAACACTAGAAAGCATGCAAAAATACAGTTTTAGACTAAGTAGAATGTTGGATTGTTGTTTTTTATTTTTTTTTCTTTAAATTAAATCTGCAGCAAGACTGCATCTTTTTAAGATGAGCTTACATCTGACTAAATATATCACACAAAATTATTTTTGCCTCTGGTTGCTCCATTTTCTTCTGTTGGATAACTGTGTCAGCATGCTAATTTTCATTTTTGTAAGGCTATGAAATTTACTAGAAGATATTTTTAACCAGTCCTACAGGTGTAGGTCCTGATAAAGTCATACACAGGAGCTGTCCCCCTGGAACTGAATGGATCACCAACAGTGAGCAGACCAATGTGTACTTTCTTTTTGCACTTTGCTGTTCTTTTGCATGTGAAGTCAAACAGAAATAGTCTGAGTTGTCAAAAAAGTACATGAATTTGATGGGCGTAATTGGAAAGATGAACTCTTAGATGGTAGTCCAGCACTTGTGTACAAAATCTGAGGATACTGTTTATGGTTAGCCAAGATTAATTTGTGTCACTGTAGCTCAGATAATTTTTTCTGTCTCAATTCATCACATTCTTAATGTAGTAAAAAATACTACACTTCATTTTGTTAGATTTGAAACTCCAAGTCAGGTTTTCTCCTGGTGTCATTGCAAATTTCTCTGCAGGGAATTCGGAAGGAAACATACTTCCTTAAACCTTTACTGTAGCCAGGTAAGAAATTTGTCTTGCCAATGTTCGTTTTGTTAGATTGTTTAATACCTTGCTGCAGCGTTGGTACTTCCAAATATACTGATAATAAGTAAAAATAATTTGCTTGTTATACTTAGTGAGAGAGATCATCAGTGCAGAACTTTGTTATTGCAGCAGAAATTTTGAATCAAGTGGAGGTTAATGTGAGAGCAAACAAAAGGAAACTTGTAGAGTGAAAGTGTATTTATAGCTTCTTGAGAAGCAAGTATTGGCTAGAAGTACTTTGCATTTCAGTTCTTTCACTTACAAAAGATTTTGGTTTTAGCACTAAGATGATGACTAATCGTAACATACTAATTAATTGACTGTTTGAAGTTCTAAAAGAGAATTGTGTATATGATGCACTGCGTGTTAAGGAAAAAAAAAAATCAACTCTTTGATTTAGACCCCCTCTTCCCTACCATTCAAATATTGCAAATTCATTAGCCACGTAGTCATTTAATGAGACTTATTTTAAGGTAAAAATACACCTTTCAAGCATCCGTGCTCTGGATTGTCTTTCAGTACTAAAAGCTTTTTATAATTGCAGAAATATTCAGCTACTTGGGCCCACTCTTCATTGTCAGTAGAATCATAGTTACATCATATCCACTGATTGCACCTCATTCAGATCTGCCAGCCATTATTTAATATCCTCTGTCTAGTTCTGTGGGAAGAGGTTGGGTTATTTTAAAGATGATCTTTTGGAAGAAAAATCAGAGATGGTCTCTTCACACGGGATACCTAAAGCTAAAGACCCATCATGGTAGCATCACAAGAAATGCCTCCTTCGCTATCGGTACTGTGGTATTGTGGTTTTCTGGAAGAGGGAAGTTTTTTGTATCATCATGGTTTTAAAAGTTTAAAGTAGTTTGGCTAGGCTTTGTTTTGGAGAGCGCCATTGAATGGCTGAGTCAACCGACTGGGACTCTTGAAGCAGGTCCTGCAACAGCTTGTCAGTACTGTTCTGCCACGGCTGAGGTTGGCACTGTAGACCTGGTCTGGATTGTGCAGCTCCATGGCCTCCTGGGTCTCACCTTGCACATCTTCTCTGGTCTTGGCACAGGTTGAAGAAGCTCTATGATGGCTGCAGGCCTCGTGACAACCCAGCTAAAATCTTCCACTAAGTTCTGGCTGCTTCCACGCTGTATTTTAGGAATGGGAAATATAGGAATGGGAACGTAAATGCAGTGGTAATTTGTGCAGCTTTTGGAACATGACTAGTGCTTGCTCCGAGGAAAATAAATGCAAAAGCACAAAGTAACTCCTAAAATTAAAGAGACAGTAGCGGAAAACTGGGAGATCTAGGGGGAGAAATTAAATCTTACTTTCATAGTAGATGGGGCTTCTGATAGTACAAAATAGTGACAGCAGCGGCCCTCAACTGGTATCTCCTTCAATATTGTGAGCAGCTTGCACCTGTCACTTGACCTAAACGTGGGCATCTTCCATCCCACAATGAGTCTGGGCAATCCTGTCATATGAACAGGCACGTCTTCTGTCATGTGGCCAGGAATGGCTTGCACAAGATAAAGGGTACTTCTGTCACTTCATTTTACAAGCACTAATTCCCTGGTGCCTGCATCTGAGTCTTGCCTCAGAAGCTTTCTTTGGGTACACAGTGGAGCAGAGGCTGCAGGTGCTCTCAGGCAGTGTCTCCTGAGCTGACAGGCCTGCCCCAATACTTGCTCCTTCTGCAGATCTGCTGAGGGGTCTTCAGGAGCAGCCTTCAGGAACAGAAATAGATGGTCATTTGAATGATTGTTTTGGCTGTGAGATAGCACCCCACCTTAGATAAATCTGCCCTCCTGGTATTTTGAATTGTGAATTCTGGTCCTTCCGAGGATCTGAACGCAACATACAATTTCTGAAATGTACAGGGCATCAAAAAAAATGCCAAGGTGTTAGAGACAACGTTTCTACCAGATGACAAGTCCTGGTTTGCATCTTAGCAAAAACTAGGTAGTTACCAGATAAACCATTTTTTTGTGTTGCACTGTATCCCAGTGAATTTCATTATGCAGTGGTCTAGTCCTCTGCCAATTTTGGCTAGCTGGGCGCATAATGGAGTTGGGGTGTTTCAGGCTGACTTGTGAGCTCTGTGCACACCCTACCTGTCTGTTATTTTGGCATGTTTAAAGCACTGTGGTGAAACTTTGCTCACCCGAGTCACACTTTTTGTATTTGGTAAGAAGTGAAGGTGTGGATGTGTGGGTGCTTTTTTTCTCTTCTTGCTGTTTACCTTTGGTGTACTTTTTGTAAGCAACAGCTGGTAAATGCTTGTGGTGAGTGACTGCATCTTCATTGCAGGTGTATATCCCTATATGGAAGGCCAGGCAAAGTTTGGCCAAGGCCTGGGTTTTAACATTCATAAAAGAAAGGAGCCAGCAGTAAGTACAAACTTCAGGCTATAAGATACCATTTTGAAAGAAGCAGACTGGAATGTCATTTTAGGTCTAATCTGACTAGGTGCATGAACAGCATGTGTTGAGTGGAGCAGCAGAGATGAGGCTCTTGCTTTGATACCTGTTGCTTCCAGCTGATGGGGTAGGAAAGAACTGGTTTTCCTCTTCTCAAGTTACCAGGGATGTGTAAGGGACCTGGGTGTGTGTTTGGAGACAGAGCCAAGTGATTTGCAAGTATCTTACCTTGAATTACTTGTTACTTTGTGGCTTGTGATGTATACCGTGATTAAATCCATTTTCTGAATAAGCAAATACATTTGTAAACAAGCACATGGTGTCACTTTTAATTACTTCAGTAATAATCCAGTGAGGACACAGAACTAAATCGGTACACTCAGATTGTCCAGTAACAAAATTAGTTCAAGATAACTGAGCTGAGGTTGTGGAGTTGCCACTTGGAGTATATCTGTAGGCCTGGTATGGAGAATATTTAAGGTGAAGAATTTGCTTTCTATCTGAGATCACAAGAGATCTTTTTTTTTTTCCTGCCTGAGATCTGAGGATCTCCCTCCTCATCAACAAATTTTTCCACTGAAGAGGAGTTGGTGGAGAAATCTTGCATAATGGAACGTATAAAATAATGTTGCTTTCTGTCCAAACAAGTGTGAATGCTTGGCAACCTGTGTTTGTTTTTAAGAAGCTGTTAAAGCTTCTCTTCCAACATCCCTACATGTTGGAGAAAGCTGAGAAAAAAGTAAAACATGGTGTGGACCTTTGAAACTAAACAAATGAATCTCTTCTGCTTTGTTTGCTGATATGAATTTTTGTGGCCATCGTTATTTTTTAAAGGCTTTATTAAAGCCTATCATATAAAGTTGCCATTTAATCAGGCTGGCCTCTGTGTCTCAAATCTTACCCCTGTATAGCAAGCTGCCTTGGATAGGAGAAGGAAAAATGGAACATGTGGAAATGTGCATGTTGCTGTCTCTGTTTTGTTTTGTGTAACCTTTGGTTTCAGAGCACCTGGTCATGCTGCTGCAGGGCACACCTGTGTAGCTTTGGGTCAGTCAGGTGCCTGTACTGGTTAACGTGTTTTTTTTCACTTGCAGTAGCAATTGTTGCAGCTCCATTGCATCTCCCATCACAAAGCCAGGGGTACTTGCGTTGATTTAGCTGAGTTAAAACTGCTTAGGTGGTAATCTAAAACTACAAAAAAAGGGACCTTCCTTATTTAGGATCTTAGGGAAAATCTAAGAAAACTTTTCTGATGATCTTAAGATGAGAAGAGTGAGACTCACCAAAAGGAATCTTCCTAGAGAACATTTAAAGGATTTTGGATTCAATTCAGTCTGGCTCATCTAGTCATGACTATTACTTTCAGAGTCTTCAGCAAGTCTTAAAATATTTCTAGTTTTCTATCACTATAGCATTTGGGAACTAATACAAAATTTTTGTAGTAGCTCTTAACTCAAAACCACAACTAGTTTTTATATTGTGTCTAAATAAATTGTACAGAGGTAATATACATTTAATTCTGTTGCTTGACTTAGATCTTTATCCATGCCTTAAAACATGTGTGAGTCATTTGAGTCATTAATACACTACATGAGTTTTGCAGAGGATAGCTTTCTGAAAATGCATTTTATCATACTTGCAGTCTGGCAAGAATCAAGAAGGTGAATTGAAGATAATGAGTACAGGGTTTTGTAAAAACAGGGGAAAAAGATGATGGACTGACTGGATGGGAAGCATTGTCAGCCTGCTCTATTGAGAAAAATAATTGACATCTACTGGAAATAAGTATAATTACATTTCTTTCTGGTTTTTTTAAGAGATGAAATTGGATTAATACCCTGCCCTGAAGCCAGGTATAACCGCAGCCCTATCGTCCTGGTAGAAAACAAGCTTGGTGTGGAGAGCTGGTGTGTCAAGTTTCTTTTGCCGTATGTCCACAATAAACTTCTCCTCTACAGACAAAGAAAACAATGGCTGAACAAAGATGGTAAGTTACCTAGGTGGAGAATAGTATCTTATATGATCCTTAATGCACAACTTTTATTTATCGTAGAATCACAGAATCATTTAGATTGGAAGGGACCCTTAAGATCATTGAGTCCAACCATTAACCTAGCACTGCCAGGTTGAAGAACACCCTGTGACCACTCACAGAGTTCAGATGTTTAGTATCTCACATGCACCTGGGTTTCAGTTGGGGGCTGTTACCATATTTTATTTTTTTTTCTCTTTGTGTGAAACTAACCTAATCCATAAAGCACTGGCTGTGTCCATTGTGCTTTAAAATTACTGTCTTGGACTATCTTCCCCTCCTGGAACGTACCCAACAGCCACCATCCATTGGGTTGTGTTGATTGCAACTGTAGCAAAGGCAGTCTCCCTGGTTGCTTGATGAACTAGTGAGTGAAATAATTTAAATAGTTTTAAATAGTGGGATGCTAGCAGATGTCTGATGCAGACTCTAGAATCTAGTCATCATATAAGTAACATGCTGTACCACCTTGAACAGATAGGTTTTGAGAGTAGATCTGTGTAGATCAGGAGAAGAGGTCTGATTAGTAACATAACTTTCTTGATATAACTGCCATTTGCTTTTCTGTTCTTTAATTTTTTATTGCTGTAGTTTGTTTCACTTTTAGTGAGGGTAAGTGCACAGCTGGCTTCATCCATTTAAAGCACAGGGTAAGGGACAGTCAGATGGTGCTAGTGGAGTCTGTAAACGTGCACTTGAGCTTCTTTTGCGTTCAGGGATGACATAGAGAAAGAGGATTGAGGTCTTTAGTGATTCTTGACAAGGAAACATTCATAAAGCAGTGAATGTTGCCTATGTTTGTCTGAGGGTGGGGTCTAGAGTTATGAAACAAACTTTAATTCCTTAGTATAAACATGTGGATGTATAACCCAAGTATTTTGAAAAAAAAGTAGCATTAAATGGCAGAGAAGGTTTGTAATGTGAGCATGAATGCACTTGCCTTCTAGTGGATGGAGAGAGGTCACACATAGGAACTTTTTACCTCTTTGAAAGCCAGATCCTGATAAAGAGGAACCCATTCCACTGACAACGTACAGTCTTCCAGTGCTGGCTGTGTTCCTTGGGTGGTGTTAGAGTAACAAAGCACTGGTTTGATGCTTAAGAGTTAATTCTGCATTCGAAAGAGTAGCTTAAGAAAGTTGAAGTGTTTTCATGCGTTGTTGGGTATGACTGACCTATTGATTGTCTGTATTTTATTTTTGTCTAACAGACTTCTTTTTTGTATGTATGTGTGTGTGTATGTGTCCCAACAGAGGGCTGATGTCATACCATTATGTGATTATCTAGGAAAAGTGTTTTGTGGACTTTGTAAATTTTATATTACCCTTTGTTTTTTATTTTCACGTAATTTATTTTCTTGAGTATTCTTTCTCATTACAGACAACTTTAAAAAACTTTTATTCCTAGGGGATGTGTATTTCTAAGATAAGTAACTACGATTTCTTTCTCTGTGGTTCATGGTTGGACCTAGTAGGACCTGGATCTTTTTGATAGCTGCCACCAAGTTGCTGCTGATAGAAACCAGTGCTTGTGATCTGATTGCAAATTTAGAATTTATAATGCAAACAATTATAAAATTCAATAAAAAGAGTCGAGATAAAAAGATTTAAGATAAGGAATATAAATAGTATTGACTCTGACATGTAGCCAGAAACAAATTTTAGCTTTTAAAGAGATGAAGCCACTAGCACAGGCAATCTTAGCAAGACCGTGGTTGACATTGCAGTGTTTTTTACAGGTCTGAGGTAGGAGTTTGTGAGGTGTATTTTGATTATGCTGCAGGCCTTCTGCAGGGAGGCTTTTCATCTCTGTTTCTTCTTGTTTCAAAAACTTCTTGTTTCAAGCCAAAGTACAAACCACTGAGATTTGTGTCACTCTTCCATCGGGAGGCTGGAGACCACTGACAGCTAAAGGGCAACTGGGCACTAATGTGCTGAGGCCCTGCTCCATTCACACCGTCCAGGCGCTTTGTTGGCCTACTCTGCCAGGATGGTACAGTGTGCTGACTGCTTGAAGAGTTGTCTCTGCTTCCCACCCACATGAGGCCTTGCAGAACCCTTCCTCTCAAAATGCAGATCACAAAACTGTGTCAGTAAATACTGGAGTGGCATGGAGTTTAGATAACTGCCTGTTTCTTGAGACTTGTTTGGTTTTCTTCTTTTGAAAATGAAACACTGTTCTCCTTTGTTTCTTTAATTACAAAAGTCAGTTTAGTATGTGTGAGAAGGGGTGATCTACAGCGTTTTCGTGTCTGTTGAGGTTTTGTGTCACTACTGTAAAACGGGATCAGGACCTCCATGTTAGTAGTCTTTTCATAAAGCAAGGTACAGCGTGTAGAGTTTAGTATGTTTTACCATAATTGAGTTTCACATTTGGTAGGAAATTTTAGCAGAAACTGAATTGCAGTGGTGGGGGGAATGAAGGTGGAAGTCTTTTCCCAGGTGGACTTATAGAGTTGTCTCTAATGTGGCCTAAGTATGCATATGCTATCAAGAGATGTTATGTTTTCTATACATTTGAAATATCCTGAACGATTTTCCTCCAGATTCCTTTTTGTAGACAAAAGTGCATGCCTGGAATTTGGCAAAGTAGTTGTTTTCTTTTGGGTGTAGTGAAGGGATAGATTTGTTTATTACTGCCACAAAACTCAATTGCACGTTCTATTGATGCTTGAAATAAACAGTGATTGCAAAGGTAGTCTCTTGTTACCTCTGTGTTGTTTGAATTAGTGTAAGCCATTTTAAATAGAACAGAGAAGAAACACAGAGTGTTGATTCAAGTGTCTGCTTTCACATGTGGTATCTGAGATTTTTTCTGGCAGGATCCTGGAAGAAGAAAGTGCTTCATAGTTGTCATTGATAGCTTACTGTGACAGATGTCTAATTTAGTTATGGTTTCTTTTGGATACTTGGAATCCTGAATCATGACTACTTTGCTGCTTGCTATTTTTCTAGTTTATAAATATTTCGCATTATGTTTTTATCCTTTCTCCTTTTTTTTTTTTTAATTTATGAGTGCATATTATTTGTATTATCACAAGATTCTGGTATTGCTACAAATTTCTTTTTATTCGAAGTTTTGTTGTGCATACTCCCAGAATATCCTTGCTTCCCACAAATCTATGTTTTCCACTTTGACGACAGTCTTCTAAAAAGGCACATCTTGGTGTGATACACCTGTAAAAATAAAAATCTGGGTACAGCCATATTTTAAAAGAAAACGAGTGTTGTGGTTTGGGCCCAGCTGGGGGCAGGGCACCATGGGCCTGCTCACTCACCCTCCCCCCACGGCAGGTGGGGAGGAGAATCCGGAGAAAAGGATCGAACCCAAAGGTTGAGATAGGAACAGTTTAATGGAACAGCCCAAGGAGAGAAGGAACAACGGTAACACCACCACCACTACTGAAATAATATGTACAGCAAGAGACAGGGAACACAACAGCTCACTGCCCGGACTGACCCCTGTGCTGCATGCCACTCCCCCATACATACTGGGTGTGACATCAGCATGGTACCAAATCCCCCTTGGCTACTTCTGTTTGGCTGTCCCGGCTGTGCCCCCTCCCAGCTTCTGGCGAAAATTAACACTATACTAGCCAAACCCAGGACATTATCCACCCCTTATACTGTACCATCTCTGTCATGCCAGATCCTATACTTTGGGGTTTGGTCTGTCAGAGGTGTTTCTGGGTTGCTGCATGCTGCATCTGGAGCCTGTGGCTGGTGTGTTTTGCATGGGCTGTACTCACAGTCTGCAGGTTGAAGATATTGATCCTGAGGAAGTTGCTGGGCACCAGTTGCTGAAGCCGGTTCAAATTCCATCACTGCTGACTCTCACTTGGTTTCATCAAAGTCCATTCCTCATTGATTTGAGTGACGCTCACTGTAACACCATTAACGTGACATACAGCCCCTGTGGTAGTGGCAACATACAATGGCATGGTTATTTAGTAATTAACATCATACAGTTTATTTCACTGGCTATCCTCAGGCAAAATTAAATACTCTTGGGGTATGCATCAAACTTCCCCATCCTCCCGCATCACCCACGAAGTGCACCCAGGTCCTCCAGCAAAAGCAATCCCACGGCTTGGTTTGCCTTTGCCTGCAGCAGGACTGACCCAAACTGTCTTTCCTAAGACAGTTCTTCATGTGCACTATGAGGACTTTATATACCCCTCTACAGTTTGTAGAAGGTTTGATTGGGCAGGGCCAGCTCAACTGGTAGATCCCTAGTGTTTACTAACTAGGTGACTTCTGCTAAATGTGTATCCCAGTGTTCAAAGGTCCCACCCCCCATTGCTCTCAGTTTGGTTTTTAGCAGACCATTGTATTGTTCAGTCTTCCCGGAAGCTGGTGCATGATAGGGGATGTGATATACCCACTTGATGCCATGCTCTTTGGCCCAGGTGTCTATGATGTTGTTTCAGAAATGAGTCCCATTGTCTGACTGAATCCTTTCTGGGATGCCATATCGCCGTAAGATCTACTTTTCAAGGCCCAGGATAGTGTCCTGGGCAGTGGCATGGGGCACGGCATGTGTTTCCAGCCATCCCATGGTTGCTTCCACCATTGTAAGCACATGGCACTTGCCTTGGTGAGTCTGTGGGAGTGTGGTATAGTCAATCTACCAGGCCTCCCCATATTTGTGTTTCAGCCATTGCCCTCCATACCACAGGGGTTTCAACTGCGTGGTTTGCTTGATCGCAGCACATGTTTCACACTCATGGATAACCTGTGCGATGGTGTCCATGGTCAAGTCCACCCCTCAGTCATAACCTCATCTATATGTTGCATCCCTTCCTTGGTGGCCTGAGCTGTCATGGGCCCACCAAGCTATGAATAATGCACCCTTATGCTGCCAGTCCAAATCCTCCTGAGCCACTTTAATCTTAGCAGTCTGGTCTACTTGCTGGTTGTTTTGAGGTTCTTCAGTGGCCCTCTTGGGTACATGGG